TAGCTGCAAAGCGAACCCCATTTGGTACAATGGGTGGTGTATTCACTAATAAAAGTGCAACTGATTTATCAATTGTTGCTGTAAAATCTGCTTTGCAATCTGCAAAATTGAATCCTGAAAAAATAGATAGTGTTGTGTTTGGACATGTATTACCTGTATGTATTGAAACAATCTTCATACTTATCAGTTATTTCTTAAAAAATTAAATGTATTTGTTTTTATAATATGTAAAATTATTATTTTATAGTTATCATCTGCTGATGGTGTATTCTTAGCACGTCATGTTGCATTGAAATCTGGTATTCCTTTGGAGAAGCCAGCTTTTTCAGTAAATAGATTATGTGGATCTGGATTTCAATCAATTATTAATGGTGCACAGGTATAGATTTAAATAAAATTTACTCTTAATAAATACTGTGCACACATGTAGGATAATTAACATAACTACTATTTTTAGAGTATCTTATCAGGAGAGTCTAAAATAGTTTTAACAGGTGGTGCAGAAAATATGAGTCAATCTCCTTTTGTTGTAAGAAATGTTCGATTTGGAACATTTTTAGGACAGAAGTACGATTTCGAGGATTCTTTGTGGCTTGGATTACTTGATACTCATTGTAATTTACCCATGGGAGCAACTGCAGAAAAGCTTGGATCTCAGTATGGTTTGAAAAGACAGGAGGTAGATGAATTTGCTTTAAGAAGTCAACAATTGTGGAAAGCTGGTAAATACCTGCTAATGTTATGCTTCATATTAATTAAAATAAATTATTATTAAACGAATAAAAGGTATTAAAATTGATCTTTAATTATTTCAGCCAATGATGCTGGTCGTTTCAAGGAAGAAATTGCACCTGTAACAGTAACTGTAAAAAGACAAGATGTTGTTGTTAATACAGATGAACATCCACGTCCTCAAACAACTATTCAAAGTTTAACTAAGTTAGCTCCTGTTTTCAAGAAGGATGGTTTAGTTACAGCTGGATCTGCATCTGTAAGTCGAGCTGCATCCTATTGAAATTAATTGTAAATACATCAACATTATATTCCATGTCCTTTGAACGTGCGATTTTACTCTATAGGGTATTTCTGATGGTGCAGCAGTTGTTATCTTAGCTAGCGAAGAAGCCGTAAAAACGGAAAGTCTTACACCACTGGCACGTTTGGTAGGATACAGTGTGGTAGGTGTAGAACCTAGTATTATGGGAATTGGACCATCTCCAGCTATCAAACAACTTCTTGAAATCACAAATAAAAATTTGAGCGATGTCGAACTTGTTGAGGTAAAATAATATTTCAAAAAATATTTGATTTAATCGTAAGTCTATAAGACACCATTCGCATTTTTTTTTCTTTTTTTCGTTAGATTAACGAAGCGTTCGGAGCTCAAACATTAGCATGTGCTAAGGATTTAGAACTGGATATTAATAAATTAAACGTGGATGGTGGAGCTATTGCTGTTGGACATCCATTGGGTGCATCTGGTAGTAGAATTACCGCACATTTAGTACACGAATTAAGGTAAGTTGATATTGAAGAAAGGATATATTAATGTATAGTTAGGATGAATCACTAACAAGAATTATATATCACTTTCACAGGAGACGAAATAGTGGAAAATTAGGAGTTGGTTCTGCTTGCATTGGTGGAGGTCAAGGAATAGCCGTGATGGTAGAAGTTCTTTAATCATATATGAATGATTATAATGATTATAAAACGTGATATGAAATACGAATTGTGCAATGAATACCGGAGAGATATGTGAGTTATAAAACGCGTATTTATATTTTTATATTTGTTATTTCGTATATCTGCATTTTTGCATGTCTATATTTTCTTATACTTACATAATTATACTATGTTTACTAATATTTATACAAATATAGTTATATTCTTATACCACAAATTTTTGTAATTAATAAAATGTTCAAGCGTTTGTAGAAGTTTTTAAAACGGTAAAAATGGAATACGATGTACGTAGAATCTAGAAAGTTACATTAATAAATTAAAGAAAATTTGAAGCACTATAAATTTATGTATACCATATACGTACTAGAACGAAATTCTCTAAAGATAATTCCATAATATTTCCAACAGTTAAAATAATAGGTCGTTGAGCTTTTGACATTACAACGAGCAAGGCTCGTTTAAAATCCTTGGTATTATGCCACCAATTATTCATATAAGCGGCAAAACATATATTCATGCTCTGAAAATGTGATTTTTAAACAGAAATCTTTTCTATCGATTAAGAAAGAATTCACGGTAATAACATACATGAAGATACAGTTCGTTCCCGTGCCAGCAATATATAAAGATTTGATATGTCATACAGCACATATGCATAAACATACCAAACAAATCGGATAGAACGTAATATTTCAGCTGTAAATGTAACACGAATAGAAAAACACAGTTGCATACATGGAGAAAAAGAAAAATTTCAAATTAATATGCAAGATATACCTGTGATATATTGTATGCAAGTAAACAAACGGTTATACAATTTACCAGCAGTTGAAAAAATATCACAGTACCGAATGTATCTTGAATCTTTCGTGCGAAACTGTAAATATCGAATAATAATTTATACATAAATTTGACGAATAAAAAGTGACGAATTTTCTTATTATCCTGTATTTTTACTCGAAAGAAAAGAAAAAAAACTTACTCGGATATCAGTCTACTATGTTCAATGCAAATTTTCAAATCCTCATACAATTGGTTGTAAGTTTTTGAAGTAGATTTATCGGCACTGATATCATCAGTCCTAGCAACAAATTCTTTCTCCGCTTCATAGTGTATCGAAGAGATGTTATAACTTAAGAGTGTCAATTGGCAACAAGCAGTTATTATAAAACCTGTTATAAAAGTATCTATTGCTACATTATTAATACAATTTACAGTGACACCCACGACTTGATGTAAAATAGTAAATTCATAAGCTGGCGAAATTGTTACATTATAAGGATACCATGCTTTTATCAATAAAAGTTGATACGTCCGTTTCATCAGATTTACAACTGCTGTGCATGACCAGAAGATTACAGCTATGATACCGAAGCTTTGATAAGTGATATGATGGAAAATTCCTTGCCAAGTGTAATACGTTACGATACGTTCGTATTTATCGTTATTGCGGATAAACAGTTTTCCCTCGGTTATATTTATAAGATCTTTGATACGTTTACGTCGTAGAACGATAACAATTACCTATTGGCAAACGTAAAGAAGAGCCTAATAAAATAAAATCCATCCAATTACCGACTATGAAAATAATTATCACACCGATCGTACAATTCTTTCTCATACATATTTCCTACTATACGTATTCAATGGAATCTGTTTTATCGTTCCACTCTGTACCTCCAATCACATTATCTTGCTATCTTATCTTCTTATATATAAAAAGAAAAAAAACATAAAACTATATGAAATCCGCATAGCGTTTAGTAAAATCGTTTAAAAGGGGATCTCGTAAACATAATACATACATATCAGAAATTACAATCGAATTATACGAACCTTCAGACAATATGAATAATTTGTCATAAAAATAGTTGCACCGGACATTATTTCGGCATAGTCTCCCCAATGTACACAAAGATACGCGAATTCGGTAACAAGAGTAAATGCCAATAAAATCACAAAACTGCTAATTCCATACAGATAATAGAGACGCTTATATTTCATCTGTCCAGGCCATATTCCCGCATAGTAAAATAATAACATACAATTTTTCAAATGTTTGTTAGGTTTGATCTTTTTCAATTTCGTTTGTTTTCCCGCAAACTCGTCCATTCTACCGTATCAAGTTCACTTAAAAGTTCACCAAGTTCTTTCGTCTCGGATGTTTATCTTTACACCAAGGATATTGAACTCCTATCAATTTGTCTTTTCTCTCAGTTTTATCATACGGTTGAAACATTTCAATTACAAAGATCTTCAATATTACAGAACGATTTTACCGCGACTTGTAATTTGATCGCGTGCCTCCTTGTGTTTCTCTTTAGTTAAACGTCGGGACGTACCGGAGGAGGGTCAATTTCATCGCGTCTATAATCATGTTCGATTACAGAGGATGCATCGTCGTTAATAATTAACAATAATCGATTAAACGCTATTTCCTAAACGAAGAGTTATAGTACAGTTTTACGTAGGAATTCTATACGATTGGACATCGTTCTTCTTACTTTCGTATCAAATTGTCTCAGATAACGACAGATTCCCTTAATCTGTCACTTCTAACCGAGTACGTGGGATAAAAAGAAAAAGTTAAGAGTCCACATATGGTATCGCAACAGCATGTATACAGGGTGTTCCGTTTAACATGGATTCGTTAACATCTTCATTACCTTTACCGATACGCAAAATTGTGTGAGAACAAAGTTGTTGGGTTTAGAACGAGGAATGTTGTGATCTGTGAATTTTTTGGCAAGGTCGTTTCCATTTCCCGATTTTCAAGGTCATCGTCATTTTTTTTGCAGATTAACGTGTGTTTTTTGTAATGCAATATTGTAGTGGACATCAAGACGAATTCAAAGGTGTACACAACATCACGACCTTGAAATGACCTTGAATGAGAAAAAATCACAATAATTCAAAAAAGAATTGGACAGTGAACATTCGGTGTTTTTTGGGCAAAATCTTTATTCTAACAAATGTTCAAAATGATTTCCATTTACTTCGAGGCATTTTCGAATAAGGTACATTTCAGTTACAATTTTATTTAAGAGAACTGTTGACACTTGTTAGAATTCTTTTTAGGCCGAAGATTCTCGGGTAAGTGCCGTGCCTCTTGACACAGTCCTCCTCCCGGAGAGGAAGAGGTATGTATCAACACGAAGGGTGTCCCGCACATTATGCAAGAAATGTATACTCTAAACGAAATGTTTCCTGATCGGTGGATAGGTCGCGGTTCAAGAATCTGTTGGCCAGTGTAGATCACCAGATCTAACTCCGCTCGATTTTTTCTTATGGGGACACGTGAAAAGACTAGCTTATAATGATATCCCAACCACAGCACATAGTAAAAGTTTTCTACTTCGTATTCGAAAATGCCTCGAAGTAAATGGAAATCATTTTGAACATTTGTTAGAATAAAGATTTTTCCCAAAAAACTCCGAATGTTCACTTTCCAATTCTTTTTTGAATTATTGTGATTTTTTCTCATTCAATGTCATTTCAAGGTCGTGGTGTTGTATACCTTTGAATTCGTCTTGATGTCCACTGCAATATTGCATTACAAAAAACACACGTTAATCTGCAGAAAAATGACGATGACCTTGAAAAATCGGGAATGGAAACGACCTTGACGAAAAATTCCTCGTTCTAAACCCAACAACTTTGTCCTCACATAATTTTGCGTATCGGTAAAGGTAATGAAGAATTTAACGAATCCATGTTAAACGGAACACCCTGTATAGATAAAATGTTTTGTGTTACAAAAAGGAATGCAGAAAACGGTGACGAATCAACGAAGCAAGTAAAAACACGTTCGCTGTTCCCTCTTGCGAGAGATATCGTGCATTACGTGTGACGCAATAGTTTTCAAGGAACGATACCCAATTTTTACTCTCGTATACAATAGTGTGTGCGAACAGTCAACTTCAAACGCTCTGCGCAATTTACGCACTGACTCGGAGTAAGTTGCTTCAGTTACCTGCGAGTTTTTCTTATTTATACTTTGGAAATTTCTCAAGTGCAATTTTAATATTAGTAACAAAGAAATGGCAGTTAGCGCAGTTCTAAGCAAAGATATACTCGATATCGAAGTGAGTATCTCTGTTGGTTTATCAACGAAAATATTCCACGCGTATTTGAATTCAACGATGCACAATTATTTTCACAGAATCTTCTAAGTTTAAATCCAAAGATTGAACCGTTCGCGAACCTCGTTCCTTCGGCGCACACCAAAGAGATCAAGAAGAAATGGAAGAGGAACATTAGCGAAAAATGCAGCGTAAGAAATACATAATTCAACGAAATATTAATATTCCGGTAAGATCGATGTATCGTCGTTACATTTCCCTGCCTTTGCAGAAATGCCCACCGTTGACGAACAATTTCGACGACATTAAACATACAACACTGAGCGAACGCGGTGCGCTAAAGGAAGCTGCGCGCTGTTTGAAATGCACAGACGCACCGTGCCAGAAATCCTGTCCAACTCAATTGGACGTTAAATCTTTTATCACTTCTATATCGAATAAAAATTACTACGGAGCGGCGAAAGCTATTTTATCGGACAATCCTCTCGGTCTGACATGCGGCATGGTTTGTCCGACGAGTGATCTTTGCGTGGGTGGATGCAATTTACAGGCATCGGAAGAAGGACCTATAAATATCGGTGGTCTTCAACAGTTTGCTACAAATGTATCGATCATTTTTCCAACTGATATTATTCACACACTATGCTAAAATATGACAGAATGACAAAGACGAAACAACCGTTTGTCCCGCAGATCTTCAAGCAAATGAACATACCTCAAACTAGAATTCCCGGACAAACCGTTCCACACGCCGATACAAAGATCGCTTTACTCGGCTGTGGACCAGCCTCTTTGTCCTGTGCGACGTTTCTCGCGCGTTTAGGCTACGACGACATCACGATTTTTGAGAAAGAAAATTACATCGGTGGTCTGAGCTCGTCGGAGATTCCTCAATACCGTTTACCATACGATGTGATCCATTTCGAGGTAGATCTCGTTAAAGATCTAGGGGTGAAGATCGAACTTGGTAGAGCGCTATCTGAAAATGATTTAACGATACAGGTCCTTGTCACGTATTAGACTTTTCTCCTTGGAGATCATTGAAAATACCACAAATGTTACATACGTCGAAATCTTTTTAGGGCCTTCGAAATTCTGGGTATAAAGCAATATTTTTGGGAATCGGCCTTCCAGAAGCAAAGACTATTCCAATATTTTCCAAGCTCACGGAGGAAATGGGTTTCTATACGTCCAAGAGTTTCTTACCAAGGGTAGCCAAAGGTAGCAAACCAGGAATGTGCGCGTGTAAGAATAACGAATTACCGTCTCTTAGAGGAAATGTTGTGGTTCTCGGTGCTGGAGACACAGCCTTCGATTGCGCCACTTCGGCGTTAAGGTGTGGCGCGAACAAAGTTTTCGTGGTTTTCAGAAAAGGTTTTACCAACGTTCGAGCGGTTCCTGAAGAAGTAATTATCATCTATGCACAACGAAATACCGTATCATTGTGGAAATTCTATTTTTCTACGCGTTTTACAGCTTAATCTAGCGAAAGAAGAAAAATGCGAGTTTATCCCTTTCCAATCACCGAAGCAAGTGATCACGCGAAATGGAAAAATAGTGGCCATAGAATTCTGTCGAACGGAGGAAAACGAGAACGGGGATTGGATAGAAGACGAAGATCAAATTTGCAGATTGAAGGCGAACTTTGTCATATCTGCTTTTGGATCTGGATTGCAAGATCCAAATGGTAATTAATCATCTCACCTAAGATGACAATCGGATTGCACATTTTTTTCTTCTTCTTATAGTAGAAATATCGATGATAATTTGATTTTCAAGTAAAGCGAGCCATGACGCCTGTTAAGATGAATAAATGGAACTTACCGGAAGTAGACCTAGAGACAATGAGTACTTCCGTGGCTGGAGTCTTCTGCGGAGGAGATCTCGCTGGTGTTGCTCAGACCACCGTTGAATCTGTAAATGATGGAAAGACAGCTGCTTGGTATATTCATAAATATATTCAGGTTAATTTTTCAAAGAATGCAGATTCAATTCGTCGAAATAATACCACTCGGGTGTTTCAAACGATTGTTTATTCGTTCGACAGAATTCTTACAATTTGCAAGTGCCTGAAGTTCCACAGTTGCCTAAATTTCACACTCCGATCGACGACGTCGATTTGTCGGTGGAGATGTGTAACATAAAATTCGAAAATCCTTTCGGTCTCGCCTCTGCACCACCAGTTACCTCCAGTGCTATGATCAGGCGTGGTTTCGAGGCAGGATGGAGCTTCGTTGTTACGAAAACATTCTCTCTGGACAAGGTAAATAAGTTATCTGTTGAATATCGGTGGGTGAAACAGTGGTTGAGAAGGTAATATTTTCAGGATCTTGTTACTAACGTGTCTCCAAGGATAATCAAAGGTACAACATCTCGATATAATTACGGCCCTGAACAAAGCAGTTTCTTGAACATCGAATTGATATCCGAAAAGACAGAAGCTTATTGGTGTAACAGTATTACCGAATTAAAGCGGGACTTTCCAACAAAGGTTTGAACACAATATGCAAGACTTCCAACGATTTTGAACGATCCTAAAAATGCACAATGGTCTTCAGATTATTATTGCCAGCATAATGTGTTCGTACAATAAGGAAGACTGGACGGAACTTGCTCAAAAAGCGGAGAAAGCTGGTGCCGATGCTCTGGAATTGAATTTATCTTGTCCTCATGGAATGGGAGAGTCTGGAATGGGTTTAGCTTGTGGACAGGTATATCTCTTGTACTATTAAATCGTCTACCGACACTCGATCGGCAATTATCGTAATTTTGTTCACTTGCGAGGATCCCGAATTGGTAAGAAATATTTCAAAGTGGCTTCGGGAAGCTGTGAAGATACCATTTTTCGTGAAATTAACACCGAACATCACAGATATCGTGTCGATAGCCAAGGCAGCGTACGAAGGTATTTTTCACAATAAACAAATACACGTACAAGTGAAATGATGATAATTAAACGAACGATTGTTTGCAACAGGTCAGGCTGACGGTGTGTCTGCCATAAATACGGTACAAGGTTTAATGGGATTGCACGCGGATGCAACTCCGTGGCCAGCTGTTGGTATTAAGAAGGGTACAACTTATGGAGGTGTGTCGGGAAATGCAACGAGGCCGCAAGCTTTACGAGCTGTATCGTCAATTTCGAAAAAACTTCCCGGATTTCCTATACTTGGAATCGGTGGTATCGATTCAGCGGAAGTTGCTCTTCAGTTTCTACACTGCGGTGCAACAATTGTACAGGTGAATCGATACGTTCAAAATTTCTTCTGAATCAATTTTCTGCAGTGGTACTTCTATTTAAGATATTCTTACACGACCCGTAGGTTTGCAGTGCTGTACAGAATCAAGATTTCACTCTGATCGACGACTACGTCACAGGTCTGAAAACTTTGCTATACTTGAAGAGTTTGAAACAAGTGAAAGATTGGGATGGACAAAGTCCACCGACGTTTAAACACCAAAAAGGAAAACCAGTTTCTTTGCAACACGCTCTTGGAAAAGTACAATTTTTCGTGAAAATTAAACGATACTATTGATATATCTATATTACAGCCTGGCGGTGTTTCAGAATATACCATATTTTGGAGAATATCAAAAGCTGCGAGAACAAAAGATAGCCGAAATTAAAGCTAATTCGAACCCGCTCGACGAACCCGTCCAAGTAACGAGACCTGCTCCAAAACCGATATCACATGTACCAACAATAAAAGATGTTATCGGTAAAGCTGTGAATTATATTGGAACGTTCAAGGAATTGAACAGCAAAGAACAAGTGGTAGCGCTGATAGACGATGTACGTTTGAATAAATTCTTTGGTAATTTATTTGAATTAGCTTTATTAATGATAAATAATTTAATGTATTAGGATATGTGTATAAATTGTGGAAAATGTTACATGGCTTGCGCCGATTCTGGCTATCAAGCAATCAAATTTGATTTTCAAACTCACATTCCAACGGTGACAGATGATTGTACGGGTTGTACCATTTGCCTTTCAGTGTGCCCTATTATCGATTGCATTACGTAAGTTTTTCTTTTGTGTCTGTTAAGTTAGAATTATCGAACAACGATCTTTTAACAAATTTTATATAATTTTTTAGTATGGTACCTAAAACGATACCTCATGTTATTAAGAGAGGAATAGCGCCGAAAGGAATGACCGAATTGTCATAGAAAGAGCATGATAAGTATTATTGTATACATTTCATTCTAATGAAATATTCATAGAAATAAATAAATTACAATTAAGATTTACTGTGTACATGTGTTCGATTATTCGATCGATGAAAAATTTTAAAAATCCGGATTATCGAACCACTGCATTATCTCTGGCAATGTAACGTTGTAAATGTATTGGTCACATTTGTCGTGTGTAAATCGGCGCCTGAAATTCCATTGAAATTTAATGTGAAAATTTTCTACAAAATATTGAAATACGGTGTAAAAGTACCCTGTGTATTTTCTGCAGCCTTGAATAGGATAATACGTCTGAAAACACTGGGGTCTTAAAATATTGAAATATGTTTTCCCAATGTTAAAAGCTACGATATTACTGGCTTCTTTTAGACATCGATAAAATTCGCTGTCACAATCACACGACGATCTGTAAGTACAACGAGTATATTATTTCTCTTGAATTAACGGTGAGGTAAAAGTATCGATGAATTACCTAGTGAATATACCATTGTTTACAAGGCCATCCCGTTTTTCTTCCGTTAAGATAGTATCTGAACAAGAATCGTGCTGTCTGCAACAAACATCCGTTGTTTCAAACAGACCGAGATCTTTTTCGTTGGGAGATATGTTCCCATCGCCGCACCAATATGTTCCTAAGATGGACATTATTAATTCATTCCTTCGTATTACTAAATATTAATTAGCACCGCTTACCTGGAAATATTGCTTTAATTTTCGATTTCAACGGGTTCAAGAAATCACCAATTCTTTTTCTCACCTTTCCAGTTGTATTTCTCTTAGGTAGAATGTTAGGCGTTAGGTCTCTCAATATATCTTTAATTGCTACAATTCTTTGTTTAACAGCTTGTTCAGATTTTATCAGCGTTTGAATTGATTTTTCCACTGCACCCACGTAAGTTTCTGTTACCGTTTCTGAATTCGAATAATCACATTTTCCAAATTCCACGGCCGAAAGGCCAATTATGGCAAACAACAAAAGTATCCGCATCGTACACTTTATGACATTTCTATGTTTAAGAAGCAACGATTGGAGAATACGTAATAAAACATTTCCGTGCTTCGATTTGTTTACAATTTGTCTATGACCTTTCCACTACGTAAAACTAAAGGTCTTAAACGAGAGTTTGAATAGAATTAATTGTTATATAATGCTGTGGCATTTACTGTTTGAACTATTGACTGAAAAAAAGTGGAATATGAGGATGTTATTAAAATTTTTTGTTTTTATTTTATAAAATGATTGCACGAAACATAATACATATGTACAAATTAGAATTCAGAATTATATTCGGCGAATAAACACGACAGACCGTAAGATGATCGAATTGCGTTTAACGTTTATGTCGTATCGCTCGGCGAATCACTCGTATTCAATCCATCTTCTGTTATACAATCGTCTGTGTCCGTATTCTGTTGATCTTGCAAGGCACGTCGCTTTTTAAGCCTCAAGCATCGTGGACAACAGCAATTTCGTTTAGACCAACAGGCACGATGATGAACAGCCGAACATTGGTGGCAACTAATAGAATTTGTCTCCCATGGATATATAATTTCACCATTACCGCACATTTCGCATAAGTGACCTCTGTACATTAATTAAAATTCGTTGATATACCTGTAAAATAATTGAGAACGTTCCTTATTCCTTACACTTTACCTTGCTTTACATAATTGACATTTTTCTGTGATATGAATGTGCATAGTATCGTATGCGGCATGAATTTCCTCTAACAGCGTCCCGTTATTAAGATCGATGAGATCTTTAATGGAATAATTTCCCGAACTTTCTATCATATGAGTGCGTATTCCAATTTTCCATGGTAACCCTTGATTATTAGCATCAGGGCACAGAACTAAATAACGTTTCATCATTTGCATCTGCTCCCGCATTTTCTGTTCATCATTAACTTTCAGTTCACGAGATAATTTTGTTTTTCTTAATTAAGCGGTACACTATCTTTTACCTTTACTAAGCATAGATCTGGAACTAAAGTAAATAATTTTGGATTTAAGTCTTCGAGTAATAGGACCGAACGATCTTCTAAGTGTGTTAAAAGTTGTGCCGCGACGCGAGACACGAGTCGTGGCTCCATGTCCCAATTTCTGATTACTCTTGCTGGAATTACCATTGCGGTATTCCAATGGCATCTTTGGCAATAATACAATCCGCTGTAGTCGCAGAGTCGCGGCTCGATCCACGCTGATTCTATATGTATGAATAAAATTTTTCAAACAGATACGTATGCATAAGTAAAATTAATTTTTCATTGCAACTCATATTTTTTAAAATTTTCCTTATATATTATGTTACCTGTACTTTTAAAAGGTGTGCCAAAGCAAGATAATCCTTTTGAGAAAGCTTGTAACGATAAAAATAATTTATCTACATTGCAACAAATAGTAGCTTTTGTTTTTGTTTTTTAATTTGATACTATTCTATCTACAACACTATATATTTATTAACAAATGTACTTACTAAATGTTATTGCCACTTTGCACTCAGCACATCTGTATCCTTGATTTGCTAAACCCTGTTCAGGACAAATATCCTTTGTGTAAGTATAACCACCTGCTTCACTAGCAACTACATGAACACATACTCTATGTATATTACTTAAACATTTCCAATGGCAACAAAATTTGCAATCTATAAAAATAAAAATTAAGTGTTAAAAATTTGCAGAAAAATAGTCATTTGTAATGTACAAAAGTCTTACCACTACACATATACCACGATTGAAGCATAGTCCAAATAGCTTCACTGCAATGATCACAATATGCAGGTCCATAAGTTGCTACATAATATTTTTGTGGTATTAAATGATGACCTAAAATCACTTGGGTTTCAGGCAAGTTTTCTGCTGAAGTTTCTCTCAATTCTTGGACTCTCAGGCGTAATTCAATTAAACGTCTAACAAGCCATTTTCTTTCATCTGAGCATTCTGCACTTTCTAATACCATTTGCTTACATTTTTGTACCATTTCTTTTAGCTCTTCTTCACAAGTAGCCTAGAGAATGAAGGACGATGAAGTGGGACAAAAATTTTTATCATGCAGATTCACAAATTTATGTCATACCTTAGATAATGAAAGCAAATTCTCTACTGATTTTAAACTAAAAGGTATGACTGATTTACTCTCTGAACTGTCATCTGCTTCTCCTGTCATATATTCAAATGATGAGGAAGGTGTTGATGCAGTTCCAGAGCTGTCAGTTCTCATCTTTGGTTCATGATTACAATCATGTATTTCATTTGTATTACTTTTTACATCAACCATGTTTATTGAATCTTATTGTAATGATTTGAGTTGTTATTTATTTTTTTATTTGAGCATTATATTTGGTTAGAGTCAGATAGCCAGTGGTTTTATATTTGATATTTTGCTCTTTTAAATATTTAAATTGCTATAAATGGCAGCAGCCTCCAATTATTAGATGAAGATATTGTATAAAAACATTACAGTAGATACCTATTTAAAATTGTAAAATAAAAATAAAAATTGCATACTTATCTTTTCATACAACGTTCGAACTAATACTTACGTGAAATAACATCACGGTTAAATCACTAAGCACTTTATATTAAACGTAATTTAATATTAAAATAAATTCGGAATTCTTCTAACATGCTGATACGGCACTATTACGTTTTAACACATTCATTACTAGAAAAATATATGTAAGTAGGTCTCATGATAAATTTGAGAACTACTGACATCTGTCAACGCAACGTCACACGCGTGTGTTTACCACACAAAGTAAGAGAAAAAGAGAGAGTATCGTACGTTTTTATTTACCTCTAAAAATGACGAATCATAATTAAAAAGTCATCCTTTTCCCAATAAAATATATTTGCAATGTGTTCATAAATATAAAGGCATATAATTGTGTTAATTGTTTCGCTGATATATTAATTCGAGAAAAAAAAGGAGAATGAATGAAGAGACATAACCTTGATCTATGATTGATCTCCAGTATTTATTTTACTTATTTGTGTCATTCACTATAAACCGATAGATAATAAACTTTGCGCCAAAGAGTTATATCAAGGTTATAACCTTCGGTAAAATTGGTAAAAGTTTAAATAGAGAAACACCTCAAGATATGGAAACTGTAAGTTCTGGATTTGGTACATTTGGTAAAAAGTCAGTGGAGGTTAATGTGACAAAAATGAATGAGATTAAACCTGAAGATGAAGAGGAAACTCAAAATTTGAAAGAAATAATGGGCATTACAGGCTTTGGTAAAAAAGCTAAATCTTTTGATGTACAAGAGATGATGGAGAATATTACAAAAACTATAAAGAGTAATAAAATATCTGCTGAAAAAATAAAGCTTAACGAAGAAGAATATACAACTCAAAGAGCTATTGAGCAAGCCCCAAAAGGAGACAGTAAAGATAGTGATTCTGATAATGATGGAAATGATAATAATAGTGAGAATGATGATGATGATGATGATGATGATGATGATGATGATGATGATGATGATGATGATTTTATTGGACCTCCAATACCTTCTGATCTGCAGAACTCGACAAGCATAGAAAATACAAGAAAAGTAAAGGATAAAGATGATAGTGATGAGGATGAGGAGGAATCTGAGACAGAAGAAGTACAGTTAAAAGATAAAGTTCCATGCACCCATGAGGTGACAATGACGCATGGAACAAAAGCAGTGACTGCAATTGCAGCAGATCCTTCTGGAGCAAGATTGGCTTCAGGTTCTATTGATTATGATGTCTGTTTCTGGGATTTTGCTGGTATGGATTCATCAATGAGAAGTTTCAGAACTTTACAACCTTGTGAAAACCATCCAATTAAATGTTTGCAATACTCAATGACTGGTGATGTTATATTAGTTATATCAGGTTCAGCACAAGCAAAAGTTTTAGATAGAGATGGTTTTGAAAAATGTGAAACTGTGAAAGGTGATCAATACATAACAGATATGGCACGTACAAAAGGGCATACAGCAGGCTTAAACAGTGGCTGTTGGCATCCATTTACAAAGGAAGAATATCTGACTTGTTCACAAGATAGTACATGTAGAATATGGATTTTGTACAGACCTCGTGCACATAAATATTTAATAAAGTGTAGAGCACAGAATGGAGTTAAAACTATACCAACTACATGTGGTTACAGTAGAGAGGGCAATGTAGTGGCTTGTGGTTGTATAGATGGTTCTATACAAATGTGGGATCATAGGAAAAACTTTGTCAATCCGTCTCTAATTCAGAGAAATGCACATACACAGGGTGCTGAAATATCAAGCTTAAGTTTCTCTTATCTTGGACAAATGCTTGCAACCAGGAGTTGTGACGATACATTAAAGCTTTGGGATTTAAGAGCATTTAAGACACCTGTCTTTGAAGCTAAAAATTTATATTCCCGATACGACACAACCGATTGTATGTTTAATCCAGATGATTCAATTGTTATAACAGGAGAATCTTTAAGTAAAGGACAAAACACGGGCAGAATTCTGTTCTACGATACTAAAACTTTTGATATAGTCAATCAAATAAGCGTAACAAATTCTCATGTCATTAAAACATTATGGCATCCGAAATTAAATCAAATATTCGTTGGCTGCGGAAACGGGATAGTCAAAGTATATTACGACTCAAAGAAGAGTTTGAGAGGTGCAAAATTATGCGTTGTAAAAACGCATCTAAAACAGAAACACATTGAAGTAATGTCTACTCAACAAATAATCACACCACATGCACTTCCATTGTTCAGACAAGATAGGCCTAAATCGGTTCGCAAGCAAATGGAGAAGGATCGTTTGGATCCGGTTAAATCGAGAAGGCCAGATTTGCCAATTACCTCTGGACAAGGTGGAAGAGTTGCCTCTTCTGGAGGAACTCTTAGCTCTTATGTAATTCGAAATTTGGGACTTAGCAAGAGGATAGAAGATGATCAAGATCCGCGAGAAGCTATTCTAAAGTACGCCAAGGTAGCAGAGGAAAATCCGTACTGGATTGCTCCAGCATATAAGAAGACACAACCGCAAACGATATTCCAAACGGACGAGCAAGATGGGGCACCGAACGCGAAGAAGCAAAAGACTTAAAGACTATATATTCTTTTGTATAAACTCTCATGTTATTGTACAATGTCTGACAATGAAAGCTGTTTATGTATAGAAAGTATAAATGTATTAGTTAATAAAATAAGTTATACTAAAAAGAAAGAAACTGTTTGTCGAAAGTTTTGGCGGGAATGAGGAGCACTGACTGGGCGCATCGACTCTTCTCCAATTAATATTACGAATATTACTTTCTCTACTATTCAGAGATTACTATCTCTGTGTATAATTCGATCTTCGTATAAATTCGACAAGGATGAAATTTGCAGTAAAATATCTCGTATATTCGTACCTTTTTCTCGCGACAATTTTCAATCAAAATGGAGGGGGTTGGACTGCGTAAAAGACTCGAAACTGGTACTCGTCATAAATCTTCTATATTTCCATATACACTTACGTACAACATAATCTTAAACGAAACACACAGACTCACATACGCATATCTATTTACATTGCTATCACAGCACAATAAAAATGACGAAGAAATTTATTAACAATTTTGTAGGCGAAAAGTACACATAGAGGAAGTACGCGCGCGCATTCTCATGCGAAGAACTGAATTCAAATCGGTACGTTGATAGATGGCGGGAGCCGCGTAACGATAGTTTGAATCGATTCGCGGCACACCAGATTCTGGCGGGAAATTACGAAAACTGTTCAAAGTCCCTTAACCCCTATCAGCGGTAGAGAAGACAGGCGATTAGTCGACGAAGAAGTAACAGCGTGAGCGAACTGCTCCGTAGGACGACGAGGAAATCGAGGACCCGAATCTAAATAAATCGATCAGTAAATAGATCGAGCCTGCTTCCTACTGTTTTGCGATTGGGTAGCAAGGGGACCAGGGGACGGGAGGCTGAGGGGAGAAGAGGCCGTGTATTTGTGGCGTTCAAGTCAGGCAGCTACGATCGGCTTCTGGCAAACTTTATCGTGACACCGTTTTGTGCGTGTTCAAGAGTTGCTCGGGTTCGTTCGATCGGTTCTTCCGCGGTATCGACCGGTCCCGGTTGTGATGGTCGCGCGCTTCAGTCCCATGAATCCAGTGATATAGTAATTTCCTCGGTGTGCATTTACCCGTGCATCGTGGGCCGCAACGTTCCTGTGACGATTCCACGCGCAACTCACTGGCAAGTAACCGCGAATCATTGAGTAAATTCTCAGCCACCGCTAGACTATATTCGTTTCGGCCGACGCCGCGGCCACTTCCGCGTACATACTACGAATTCCTCTCGGTTCCCGTCGCGTTCCAAACTCCCTGTTTCGTTGCTTTTGCTTATCTTTTATTTATCGAAAAGCGTACCTTCGATTCGATTTACTCGCGGTGATAAATTAGACACGTCCGGAAATCGATTATCGTCGTATGAAAAGAAAAAATATCGATCACCCACCCATTTGCTGTCATCGTCTCTTTTATTTTAATTTGACATTACGTAACAGGGCTGAAGTTTATGAAAATGTATCATCTATACTTTTGTCACGTATGCATGCCTGCACGTTGTATTTTTTTCAACCAACTAATCCTTTTTCTTTTTTTAAGTTCGTATAACGATATCGCACGAGAGAGAATGTCAATGTCAAAATTGATATTAGTTGCAGTGATTTTCTTTGCTTTTCCGTTAATAACAGAGAAATTGATCCATCGAGGTGATTTGTGTGCAGATGCGATGTTCCGTCAAGATCGTTCGAGATTTGAATGCGAACGATTGAGAACGACTCTGCGCATTTAGTAAGATCGGCGGAACGACACGAGGAAATTCAAGCTCGTGTACTAATTCCGTTTGTTTCCTATTATATAATCGGTTGAACCGACACGGAAATCGCTTTCGAGACTAATTTCACCGATGACGATGACGTTACCGTTTGGAACATCGAAAGTTGATCGAGCCTAACATGATCGCGAACGTATAAATTTCAGATGTAGAACAACATGGCTATCAACATAAAATTCACGAAATTCGACAATACACCATGGGGATTTCGATTGGCAGGTGGAAGCGATTTTCCACAGCCACTGACTGTCATCAGAGTAAGTACTTTATACTATTATTACAGTGTTGGTATTGCGTAAATTCAATGCACGTGTAATTATATACATATACATATATATATATATATAAAAATACATGAGTAAAGAGAGAATAATCTACGATTAAAATTGTTTACGAATGATTCAGAAGTCCAAAATACACATTTTAAATGCAGGCTTTGAGCTTTTATTGCAAATAATGTCTATACGATCGAATGCACCGATGTATAAAGGGTTGCATACATGCAGGAAGGCATCTTCGAAAATGTCGGTACGGTAGAACGAGCGTATCAATTTCTGCATTATCGATCGAATGCAATTCCAATTGTTAGTTGCAGCAATATCCATAATAGAAACTGGTTTAACGACGATTTCTCATTGTGTAAAATAACAAGAAATAGCAAAGTTCGAGTTAAAATTTGTATTGGATAAGAAATGAAATCGATTTAGAAATATTTCCTAGGTCACGGAGGGAAGCCTCGCAGAATGCATGGGCTTAAAGGTCGGCGACGTGGTGCTGAGACTAAACGACGAACCCATCAGTAGCTTAACCCATGGTCAGGCACATGAAGAATTAATGCGAGCAGGAAATAATTTTGTTCTGGGTGTACACAGGTAAGTACCACCTCGGCGAAACGACAAAGGGAACCAAACCAGATCGTCCAACAGAGAATACTTTCACTTCTCTGTTTCACATCGGAAGTTAGATCCGCGAGTTAGCCGTGAAAACAATTCGATATCAATGTCAACGACACGCTGTTGCATCGTTGCATCGAATCGACCCGTTTCGAGGGCAAGCTTAACTTGAACTAGTTTTAACTGTAAGAATTTTATTTCGAGATACATCGTGATTCACGACGGGGGAGGATGAAGAATCTTCGGATCCGCTGGAATTTACAGTCACCGCTGAGTGTAATTTATCAAAAGAGATATTTGGTAAATCTATTGGAGGGGGCAGAGGGGGGAAAAGCGAAGAGGGAGAATTCGTGAAAATCACGGTAACCGCGCGGCGTGTGTCCCTGTACGCGTCCGTCCCGTGCATTATACTCGTAATAACGCGACGCGGCCAGAATATCCCGGCGTACGGGCAACGTGTGGTAACGAATTGCAACACTTATAAATAGGTGACCCAGAATGAAATCTGTTTATCATTGGTTGGCGATTTTATTGCTGGCATTTACACCGCACACATTTGTTCCACGATCCCTCATTACCCTTTCGCGCGTGAACCGGCTCGCAGCACTAGGCATCGAAAACCGAGTGAAAATCCGTTGCTCGTGTTCCAATTCCCGCTGCTCGCGGAAAAGTGTGAAAATTCTGTAGGAAACACCGTTAATCGTTAAACGACTGTTGCGCAGAGGAGAAGATTCCCTCAGGGCTGTGGAGGCACTGTCTGACGAGAACATCGTTCCATACAAGATACCTGTAGGTACCTTTTAACCAATCGAAAAGAAAAAAACATCACGTTGGTTTTTTCTATAATCACGTAAAGACAGTAGGATCGTTTGTCAGCTCGCAGATTTACCGCCTGTCTTCCCAGAGCAAATCTTGAAGGAGGAAACGGTGATCGAGCGGCGCGAGATCATTTGCGAAATAAAGGAGGAGGCCAAGACAGAAGTGGAAGCTCTCCCGGACAAGCCTAAAGACGCCAACAGCGAGATCGTGCCGAATCAGAATCTCACGGACGACGAGATCGCGCAGCTGATCCTCGAAGAGGAGGAACTTTTGAACGACAAAGGCGTTCTAGGGTATACCATTTATCCTTATTCTTCTTTTTCTCTATCTCACTTCTATATACACATATATACATATATGCATACATATATATATACACATATATATATATATATGTTACAGGGTGAATTTCAATAAACTAAGACCCCGTGCGACTGTGTTGAAACAGTCTAAAGTGATCGAGGAGCTGCAGAATATCGCGACAGCGGAGCCTCCTCAGGTTGAACAGTTGAAACGCACCTCTGTGTTTCTGCAGAAACCGCAGAGACCGATACCAGAGCCGAAAAAGAAACAGGAGGAGCAAGAAGAGAGCGAAGTCGAGTCGTACAAAGTCGTGATAAAGAAGCAGAAAAAGAGGAGCGTGACCGACCGGCTACTGGAGAGGGGCCTGCTGAAGCCTGAGGGCGCGAGCACACCGGAACCCCCTACTCCCGAGGTAAAGATGGAAAGTAACGACGAAATGGGGACGAAAATCGAGGAAGATTCATTGATCGTTTCGTCAATGCCGCTCGGTGATAGTTCATCCTCGCAAGAACCGACCGCCACCATGTGTCCTTCCGTGGTCTCCCCTCCGTGTCTCGAGCCTTCGATTGACATCTGTCAGACCGAATCCTCTCTCGATATCATCGAGCTCGATACTCCTACGAGCGTCGTTGAGTCTAACGTTGCACCGTTACAGTTGTCGAAACGCAGGGAGAATCTAGCTTTAGCTCGTCGCGGGCAGAACAAGCGCAAGTTCAAGGGCTTCTACACCAGGGCTCATTACTTCCGTCGGTGTATATTCGGGAGGAAAGGCCACGGTGACGTTAAGAAAACGGTTAAGGTAGTAAAACCGTCGTTCGGGGAATACTTGGAGGAGAACGAGGCTTGCGACGACTGCTGCACGCAATCGAGCATCGTGGAGCAACAGCCTCAAGAATCTGCGTCACGTCGCGGTAGCGTGGAGAAATCCTCGAAATCCAGGATCAAAGGTCGTTACCTCGAGACGTACTTGAAGCGGGAGGATAATTGGATGAGGCGTATGGTCGACGGGCTGTTCGACAAGCCCGATAGCTTTTCTTCGAGTAAATTATTCGATAGGCTGTTATCGAACAGAGAGATCTCGTGGAGAAGGACCCGGTACGCGGAGAAAATTCTCGTTCGAAGCGTGGAATTCGTCGCTGTTCGCCTTCGTTCCGATATCCTCAAGCATTTCGGCCTAGGATATTCTACCGTGTCGAGGTCGAAAATCGGTAAACGATTCTATTTCAAGGGTCGTTATTTCCAACGTATCTTCTCTCGTAATTTCGTTCGTCTGATAAACTGTATCAAGGATACGGTGTGCACGAAGAAGCAAGGGATCAGAGACGGAAGGAGGAGTTCGACGATGATTAAGATGAAAGGTCGCTACTTGGAGACGTATCTCGAGGAGAATGCGTTCTTTTTCGATCTGCGCGATCTTCGTCATCCTTTCTCTCCGATCGTCGTTTCGTCCAAGAAGAAATTCTTCGGGCGGACTCGTTACGTCGAGCGTATCCTTAAAAAGCACTTCGAGTCTCTTGGCTTAATCATAAACTACATTCGCTGCCAGGTCCTCCAAGGTATTTCCGATTCTTCCGTAGTTATTCCAGGCTGCACGTCCTTGAACTCGCGCCAAAACGACGTTTCGAAGGAGGACGATGTCCTCTCTAATTTCATCCGTTCGTCCAAAGATTTTATCTCGACGGAGGTTTTCCATCGAGGTAGCAGACGATTGTCGAGATCGTGCAGGGCTAGCGTATCCGCGGGCTCCTCCAATTTCTCCAGTATTTTGAAAAGTTTCTTCGTCAGTTGGCTGCCGTTGAGATTCTCGAGAGAGTCGACGGTGAGCGAGAAGAAAATCGTCCAAGACGTTGACCGTGATCGTCGTAGATTGTCTTTCGTGCCTACGATATTGTACGAGGGTCTGACGAATCGTATAGGCGTAGATTTTACAAGATTGGTGGCGTACGCGTTCGTACCTTGTACCTCGATCATCTTGTTGTATATGTACAAATAGTGATTCGTACAGAGAAAAAGTCATTACACGGTGTGTTGTCCAAGTATGATCATTTGCAGACGGTACCATTAATGATTACGATTATGTTTAGATTTAAAACGACATCACTTGTTCTAGGACATCCCTAACAGACGCTAGATCATCATGGACCATATGTAAACGTATAAAAAAACAAAAAAGAAAAAAACAAAAAAAAAACAAAATGAAACAGTGTTCGTCGTTCGTAAAGTGTGTGTTGTATCTTCTGTCCAGTTTAACTGTAACATGTTTCTCGTGACTAGAGGTAGAAATTGTACTTGTTCCAGGACCGTGCAGTCAGAGAGAATGAAAGTTTATCTATCGCGAAGAATCGTTACCCGATGGTAATGATTTTTGTTTTATGAAAAAGAAAACAGAAAAAATAACACTTTTCGATATGTTTCGATTACGTCTTGCACGGTCCTGCGAGTACACCCGCACGTCGGATTCATTGGTTACTTATAGTCTAATAGTGTAGAATTAAAAAAAAAGCAAGAGAAACGACATTTTGAGATCTCGCGTTATCATGAACGCGCAGATCGATGCATGTAATATGTCTACATATATCTAGTTTATCTCATTGTCAATGTACTCATGATGGATTGTCGAGAAAAAAAATAAGTACATTAGAAATAAAAAGCATATATCTGGATGCACCCAATGCTGAAATCTCGATAACCCTTTACTGTCAAAAAAAAAAAAAAAGAAAAGAAAAAAACTAACGAAGGCAGTTGGGACGATGATTACTCCCAAAAAATCCTCTCCGTTCTCCGGATACGATAAACGAGTACTAATCATTCACCGTAACGAACGTAAGGTACTCGTAACGTTAACGACCGATCAGAGATGCATACGCAACTGACGAATAATTGAAAAATTCACTGGAAAAGGTCAGTTTAAAAAAGCACTCTCACATGGTAAACGATAAGAGGAAATTAAAGTGCACAGTAGAAAAAAAGAACGTTTCGTATGCATTTTAAACCCACTTCTTTGCACGACAGACTAGACAAACGTTCGCACTTTTCCCTGTTCCCCAAAATCCTGTACTCTGTAGCTTCTTGTCTGAATTCAGGCGACACCATCGGCGACTCCGGAGCCCTATCGATCGGATCAGGAGTCGCGTCCAGAGTCGAAGGCCGAATCGAAACCGGAGGAGAGCGAGACCGAGGAGCAGCAAGAACCGGAAGAGGCAACACGGTGCAACAAGGAGGAGGAGCAGGAGGAGAAGAACGAGGGTGTTCGCGAGGAGGACACTCGTGAGAAGCAGCAGCAAACGACACGGGAGAGCGTTCTGAGCGAGATCGAGAAAGAGATGGCGGACGTGGCGGCGAAGGTCGATAAAGCGAAGATCAGAGAGCTGGTGAGCACGGAGATCAACCTGGAGAAGCAGCTGGAGAACGTGCAACGACAGCTGCTCACGTTGAAGCAACTACCAACCGAGATCGAGAGTCACCTGAGAATCGTCTCCGAGCAACTGCAGAAGATCATGGAGTTGAGCGGCGTCCAAAACGGCGTTCAAAACGGCGCCACCGCAGCGAACGACGAGGCTCGCCGAGGTAGGCTCGCTTGCTAACATTACACATTTTCCCTATTCCTCGCGGGATAAAAGCCTCGATCGGTATCTCGTACGCTCTCGTCGCGAGCCTACGCATATTTTCAAATTTCACGTGTCCACGGGGGCTTTTTGAAGCGATGCCAAGCATCAGGAACGCGTTCGTTTTCGTTGCGAAACCGAGCCAGACTGCCTTCGATTCGACGCGCTAAGTGTTCGCGTTTCTCTCGCATGACTCGAGATTCTTTCAGCATTGCCGTAGGTCTAGAATTGTGCTCTATGACGTTGAGTAGAAAAGGGGGAGGGATGATCTTAACCCATTAACTGGCAGCATTCCTCCAATTTGTAATTGTCAAACGACCAGTCTCTAAATAAACGATTGAAATATCGATCGCTTCCTCAGAGGCAGAAGAAGTTTGAAGAACACGAAGAACTGGAGGTGACGGAAGAACACGATGTGACGGAGTACACGGAGGAGATGTCGTATTCGGCGCTTTCCGACGAGCATACGCGAATAATCCAACCCAGCGAGGAAGAAGAGGGAGAAACTGAGACACAAGAACTGGAGGGAACTCTGTCGGTGAAGAGCGAAGAGGGATGCAGGGTGAAAAAATTCGTCGTCTCGTACGAGACGAAGGTTTTGAAATCTCCAAGTCCTGCACCTTCTCAGGGTAAATATTCCGTAGAATCTTTTATATCCAAGTTTCTCATCGATCGATATTTAAAGAAACGTCAAAGAACCATAACGGAAACGATGCGATATGTATTATAGGAAGTTACGAACCAGACCCAAATCTATCGGCAAAAGATCAAGTTATTCAGGAGTTGCAGGTATTCCAGTGAACGATAGGGAATGTAGAAATTGAACGTACACTATGTTTTTTTCTGTTACTCCTGTTTCTGTGTACCCTGATGTATTATATTATGCATCGAAGAATGCGCATCCCTCGTCTGAAATGTTTCTAATATGTTTCTCGAGTCGAAAGTTTAATAGCCTGCACTTGGAAAATACCGATTTGTAATTACCCCCTGGAAGTGAAGTCCTTAAAACTTCGCGAAGTCCAAGTGATTCGTGTCACGCACATTCCTCGGTGGTCTCAGCGGGAAGCACGCGAATTCCTCCCCGTAACCCCCTGTGTCAAGAACATTCATGGCTCGTGAAGAAACATTAATTCCGATGGCCATGGAATGACGTTTTATGCACACCTTTTGCAGGAGAGAGTGAAGCAACGAGGGAGGAAACGTTCGCAAGATCTCTGGCCCCAGGCTAAGCAGGTCGAACTTACACTCGGCCGCAGATGGAGGTGTCCGAATGATTTCTTCAATGATGAAATGATCGCCGAGGTTTTATCTTCCCAGGCGGAAGTAATTCGAGGCAGAGCCCTAGGGTGAGTCTCTTCCTTCTTCTTCCTTTTTTTCTTTTTTCTTACCGATCGGTAAATGAATTTGCATTCTCACAACAATGATTTAACAACGCGGTAGAAACCGCCTTCGAGGAGTTGTTTTTAATATCGAAAGTAACAGCGGGGAGAGTACGGGTAGGATACCAGTCGCGTGATTAATTACCCGATAGCGAACTATTAGTAATCTTGATGATTTATGGACGGCAGGGTAAACTTCAAGAAGTACGAGAAGACGGCTCTACCAAACTACGATCACTTGATGAACTCGAGCGTCTATAAGATGATTCATAAGATGGACCGCGAACCGAAGCGAGGAATTCCAGCTAGGCCTGCCAAAGTGAACGCCGCGGAGGACATAATCGAGAGAGTCGTGAGTATCCGATACGATCTGAAGAATCTTTAAAAGGAAAAAGCTTCTCTCAGCTGAATCTCACCCATTCATGTCCACTCTCGTTTCAGAAATCCCCAGCGTTGAGCGTCGCGGATGACAGGAGCACTCGAAGCATCAGCCATTGAATCCACGAGACATTAATGAAGAAAGAAAGGAATTCGAAAGGAGAGAGAAAGAGAGGACGATGAATGAAGAGCAATCGAACGCGACTTGTCGGCGTAAAAAAAGCAGGAGAAAAGAAATGATATATGAATACGTGCGCTGCGATTGAGAGTATCAAGCGTAAAGTTAATCATTAAGTACGTGTGCGTGTCGTATACTATACATTTGTCCAAGTACAAGCATTGTCAAGCGTTAATAAAAGGATTGATTCTTTTTCGTAAAACGTTGTTATCTTCTTTCTCGTCTATCCTTACCACGTCTCGTAATACGTCGCGGATCGTGTTAACCCAGACTGGCGCGTGTAACAGTTTGAAAAAAAAAGGAGTAGCAGAATTGTGCAGCAAAGAAATGGTAGAACTAAAGGCAAAGTGATGTTTCATCGTGTTGATCACAGCCGGATCGTTCGAAATGGAACGACCGGCGAGTGACAGACGCGGTTTACGCAAGATCCTTTCGCGGAATCGGATATCCGAGGACAAGTCCAGGCTCGCGGATGAGTCGCGCATACTTTCACCTTTCCGGAGTTTCCGACTCTCTTCCCGAGCGTGTCCCGCATGCGTACGGGAGGCTGAGTCACTTCTGCCGTGGCCAACGAACGTTCCTTCTCTCCCTCTTTCACCGTGGCTGCTCGGTGGTCGTCTCATGCTTAGGGTCCGAGAACGTGACGTCGGTCCCGAGCAATTTATGTAAAGCATTCTAGGCATGATTCACGAACTAGTTCGCGCCCTCGTGACCGCCACCGGCGCAGAAAATGCAGCCAGTCTCGCGACTGCACACGAAAATCCAGGTGAATCCATGTACATCCCGATGCATCTCGTATCTAGTCTACTTATCGTTTCTTATCCACTCAAGTATACGATCGATACGCAAGTTCCCTGGACTGAAACTGATATAATACTGTTATGATTTCTAGCCGCAATAATGCCCCAACGTTTCTCCTTTCAACGAACCATCCTTCTGTCAAGTTCGACACTTTTCACTTGACACTTTCTGACAATCGACAGAAGCTCTTTGAACCGAAACGATGCGGCGCGAGCGAGGGAGAGACGCGTGACCACGAGGCAGGCTAATCGTTCGATCGTTGTTCCAAGCACAATCGCGAATAAATTATCGCGGAGAGGAGCGCATGGGCGGACAGTGTGGCGAGCAAGGTGCTTCTCTTCATGGTCGAAGTACCGGGAGCAATGACAGAAGGTGGAGCGGTAGGAGTCGGCACTGCCGGAGAAAGAAAGGCACGACCAGGGGAAAAAAGACAAAATGAAACGACGGGAATGCCATCCTGATACCACCACCACCACTGTCGTATCCTCCGTTGTCCTCCTCTATCGCTCCTCGTCTCTCCCCTATTTCCTTCCCGGCTCGTTCATTCTATTATCCTTATCGTTATCCTCCCATTCGCTCTTCAATTACGATCTCTCGAAGACGCGCTTAAAATTCGAAATTATCGGTGTAAAGCGTTGTTCAAGGTTAACACAGAGCCTCCCCCCCGTTCCCCGTTCAATTCGAAATCATCGATAGGTTTCTCCTGTATCGCGGGCTGCCCCCCCATTTTCCAAAGGCTACCGCGTCACAGTCGAAATAGACAAATGCCGCTGGTGGTTTGGTTGGTTTTCGCGTGGAAACGTGGCTTCCTCCTCGTCGCACCTTCCATTCACCCCCTCCCGCGGTAATTCTGGATCGCGGTCTCGTTCCTTCCCGCGTGTTGGGTCTCTATCCCCATCCCCGCCCCTGGCCAGAGCGGCGGCAGAGTCGAATCGGATGGAAGGAAGGCAGCCAGGCAGGCCCCGCTGCCCGACTGACCGTCCTCGACGTCTGTTGTACCTTTACTCCGGTCTAAGCGTTCTTCAGGAACGTACGTGCCGTTCTCCCAACCGCGCGATCCCGCCTCGCAAAGGCAGACGTCAACCGTGACCGGTGTAACAACGTGCATACTCTCTGTCTCTTTGCTCTCGAGTCGAAACCGCATCTTCGTTACAGATAGAAACATTGGTCGCTGACAAAAACCAGACCAACATCTTTGTTTCTTCAATCCTGCGTCTCTGTTCCTCGTTCAAACAGGATTCTGTACTTTTTTTTTTTATCATTATTACTCATCGCGTAAAACGACGATACCAGTGATATGGCACAGCTGATCAGCGTCAAGCTCTCCAGATTCGACGGATCTCCCTGGGGCTTTCGTCTTCAGGGCGGCAAGGATTTTGGCACTCCGCTGATCGTGCAGAAGGTGAGTTGTTTTATCAAGTTGGTATAGATGTTATTTGTCCGGTGCTTTTTTTTCCTTCAACGTGCGCTTCGTCGATCGTCTGACAGTTGGAGGACAAATTTTTGGCAGATTGTATCACGTAAAACAGGTTTGCGCGGATAGTGATTCATCTAGTGAAGTCTGCATCGGCAAATTAGAGTTTCGTCGAACTCTATTCGTTTCTTCTATTTCGATCGTTGCCGACAATTGTTAAAAATGTAGATTACGACGCAATCGTAGTTACGATCGAAAAGAAATTCAACACTTATCGTGCGGATGATTTGTCACTGCAGACGTTACACATCCCGTGATTTCTCTAAGTGGACTTCGAACACGTGTGATTAATCACCAGGCGAATAATAGAGTACATATAGTTTCGTAATTGGACTCGTAATTAAAACAGAAACAATGTGTCATAAAACATGAATAATACCCTCAGCAATACGATGGAGCAAAAGAGAGTCGATCAGTGGTGACATTTGTCTATCATGGCGAAACTTGCCAGTATCAGGGACCAGGATTATTTTACCGAAGCAACACGCGTCCAACGATTACGAGACCCGTCTCTCATTTTCTGCTATAATGGATTATAAAGACGGGATTACGTAATGGACCAGCAAACGCCAAATTATTTCACGCGCATCGGTAGAAATCGTTGCCAACTACGTGAGAAACGCGCGGCTCGTCGTCGCGGCCGTGTTTTGGCGACGAGGCGCGCTGGTAATACGAGAAGCTTTTGGCTACCATCGCCGCAACTTTTCCTGCGAATTTTCAACTTTCTTCGTTTATCTGAACGCGAGGAACCAGCTTACGAAATATCGGGCCGGATGTTACGTTGAATCTTGCGCGAATAACCCCTCGAGAGCCTCTGCTATCCAACCTACATGCGTTTTCACTGTCATGTTTGTTATCGTTGAGCAAGAGAGGGAATTGTCTGCGCGAAGATATTTTCGTAGCAGCCTGTAAGATCCGTCGATAAATTATCGGTTCGGTGGAATATTTCGATCGCGAGACGGTCAAACCGGGACCGGACGACATAATTTCGAACGTCTAACGAAACAACGTCGAAAGTCCTCTCAAAGTGCGGACAGATTTTTCGCGCAACAGGAGTTTCTTCCCTCGCAGTTTTATCTTGCAATCGACATTTCGAACTTGGCCTTCTTAGCAGCACGTGCTCCGTTTATTTTACGAGGCCGCAAATACGACGTCCGGCCGCCCTCGAGAGTTTCTCGGAAAGGAGAGAAATATGAGTCTCCGTGTGTCAAACGCTTTCCAACCGGCGGGATTACAAATTAATCGCGAGTAATTACTTTAACGAAGTTTGCCATTTCGTCGCGGTGACCATTAGCGTACGATTTATACGACCGTTGCACGCGTTAATCCGCTGGAAAAGCCCGCGCGAACCGTCCCTTCAGTTCTTCGACACCATAAATTTCGAGACGCGTGTCTCGTTCGCCGTTCTATCATGCCGACAATTACCTGTATTTACTTAGCCTACTGGTCACTCGATACACTTTAAAGGTTACTACCTGAACCGGTAGAATAAACACGTTCCCAGTCCATCGACGATGTTTTACACGTTCCGCAACATTTTTTCTCCTTCGATGTTCGAACCTTTCACGTATCTACGAAAGCAAATATTTTGGGACGCTAGAATAGATAACGATGGAAAATACGAATGGTATCGAATAATCGTGAATTTTAACGAATATCTCACGCAGAATCTCACATTCTCCCGAATCGTTCCGTTGAAACAAAAATAAAATTGACCCTAAAATTTTGCGAAATTTTTGCGTAATGTTCCCCTTTGGAAAAGTTCGCGTATATCAATTTTTTTTCGGAATAGCATTGTTTTTCAAATATTTCCAAGTTGTACTCGCTGTGTAATCGAACGAGACATTGTTAAAAACCGACGGATCGTTTAGAAAAAGATAGAAAAAGTATGGAAAGCGAGGAAAAGATGGAGGAAAGAGGGAGGAAGAGAGAGAGAGAGAGAGAGAGAGAGAGAAGCAGAGACGCGTCGCTGGTAATCCGAGGCAAATTATTTGGGCGTTCTATTTCTAGAAGGTGCCTTTGCGAAACGCGCAAGCCGGGTCGAGCCCCGCTCGCGAAGACAACGACGAAGACGAAGGCAACGACGACGACGATGTCGTCGACGGCTTCGAGCTTCCTGGGCCGCGTTGGTCACCGCGAAAATAAATTTTTCGACGGAGGGAGCGATCTTGTGTCGATCGATAAAAATACCAATCGACTACACACCACGTGCGTGTCTTTTTCTCTCGTTTGAAGAAAAGGAACAATACGAAGAGAGTCGAGTCGTTCGCGATTCACGTGGGACAGAAATTCTCTTATCGAGAAGAGAGTGAAATTCGAAACTCGCGTTCCTACGATATTTTTCTATCGTCGCAAATACACACGCTGAAGTTTCGTATTGTAAAATTCAACGGGAACAATGATATTTGGCACGATCGGTAGAGTGGAAAAGTGTTACACGTAATCTGTGACAAACAGCTGCGCGGGTTTCCGCGATTCCGCGGCCGGTGCAACGTGGGCGCGTTGTTATGCGATATTTCGTTGGCATACCCGTTGCATTATCGCAGCGAGGAAGGACTCGACATAAATTCCGCGTGTCGTTAGCCGTTTATGGCGTCACGATAACGCGTTTTCGTCGTTAACGCTCCTTTTTTTCCACACCCCCTGCGATCTGACGTCGTTGCAGGCAAACCTCCAACAGAACGTCTAATTGTCAATCGAGATAATAAGGATCGAGAGGCTCGGTGATTTAGAGAATTCTTATTAAAAGATCCAGTCCGTTTAATCGCGAATACCATTTCGATAAGCCTGGAAACTTGGTCGAGAAAGGAATGTACCTTTAACGAGGATAATTACGCGTTTCCTTTGGGGAATTTTACTAATTTACATTCACCGATAATGCTTCTCAAGTTCTAGATACAATCGATAGCTTAATTATTACAGTCGTTAAAGCAAATTCCTGCGGAAATTCCATTCTTCGGTTCTTAGACGGGGGCTCCTGTGTTCTCGTTTAATGCATATACTTACAGAGTAACAACAATATTGCGCAACGATTGACGTTAACAGGTAGCCCAGGCACGCTCTGAAATACCTTTTGAAGGAGGAACTTCCTTCCGATAAAGGTTAACACCATGAATGTGGCAATAGCTGGTATTCTGCCAGACGCGTGGGAAGAAAATACAATTTACAGTGATCCTCTTATGAAAAATGAAGGTATCGCGGCGCGTGAAACGAATACGAAGCAAATTACACGTCTTTTCCAGCTAAACATAGAAGCGAATTTTCGTAAATACGCTTGGCAAGAGGCGGCCCGAGGACGTGGCTCCTCTATTAAAAGAATCGTCATCAGTCAGAGAGGATACGTGGTGGCTGTGTTGCATACTTTTTCGAAAAAGAAGAAAACAGAGACGAGGAGAAGGAGAAGAAGAAGAAGAAGTAAGACGGTGGTGGCGATGGTATCGGGAGCGTGGCGATATTTTCGTCATTATCGAAAATAAGCGGTCGCGCGTCCAGTCACCGTTCGCGAATTCTGTTTATGTCTACCAAGGCCCGATTTCACGCGGTACGCACACGTAGTCCGCACACACGGCGCCACAGAGAAAACGTAATCATTGCAAAGAACGAAAGTTGCACGGGGCCGATTTGTTTATGAGCGGCCACGGGTGTTAGAAACAACGATGGCGTGCGTGTGCAAGAGGCCGAGTGAATTCGTGTGGCAGCAGGATGTCGCCCCGTGCAAGCTGCAACCACGCACAAGTCCGGCGAACACGATACAAAAAGACCAGCAAGAGTTTCCGGTTTTCCACGAAGCACACATTTCACGGGGATTTGTTCCCCGAAGACTCTGATCAAACTCGAGAAAATAGACCGTTTTACGATCTGCTACGCGTAGAGAGAAATCCAGACTGAGATCATTCGCCTCTGAATATTCCTACGACCAGCCTAATACTGACAAAGTAATCTCCTGTATTTAAGAGATCTCTCTATTAGCTATCGAGTTCACATAGAGAGACAGAGAGAGAGAGAAAGAGTTACACTTGGATGCGTTAAGATCTGTAGTTAGAATAAGCTTTGATAGCTTGGATAGGGAAAAACGAGATTGGAAATAATATTTCGATCGATAAATCAACAGCTGTAAGTGGTGCTTCAATGACAGGGTGGTGGGCAACGAGGAATGCTGGCACCGTAACCCCTTCCGTGGCTTGGCAACCGTATTGTACCTGGCAAGAACTGCACCCAACGCTGTTTACAGGCCTCCTCGTTATCAGTCCAAATAAAATGCTCGATTATCTGTGGCACTTTACGTTGCACTGGGTGTATCCGCGATATCGTTGGAATTACGCAACTTTGCCAACACCGTTGACCAAAGTTCCAACACGTCTTGGCCACGCGAAAAGCAGAGTTTATCGGTGGATAATAAATTGCATCAAACTTGACACAATTTCGGAGGAGATCGAGGAGGTCGTGATTCTTGCGGGACGTGTCAAGAACTTGGAGATATTAGATATCTGTGTCCTCTTTAACGGTACATTAATCGAAGAATTTTTATTATTTTGTATATAATCCAAGAGATGTTAGTGGGTGTTTTTGGCCTGGGTTCTTCTGGAGATACAAATGGTCAGAGATGTTGCACACGGTACGAAAATGTATTTGGCCCGTGGACGGGAAACTCCGTCGGCGTTGTCGATATGATAAACTGTGACATATTTACGCAACTCGAGCGCATAGAACAGTTTTCAAATCATCTCCTACAAACGTACCATTTTTTTTGCATTCCTGAATCGCCCACTCGTCGAGGAAAACGAGACCAATTCCCATTGCACTACTCCTTTAACACGTAAAATGCAAATGCAGCCAAGGCCACAGACGTGTAATCGTTAAGCGATAAAAATGCTCCGAGTTACTCATTCTATAATTGCTTTAAAAAAAATAAAATACTTTTCAACGAA